TACACACAGAAATTCTAAGCGCCGATAGCAATTAACACATGCTAAAAACGTGGTTAATCTTTGAATAAACAAACAAAAAAGTTTCATGTTGGTAATTCCCAGAGTGACCATTGACAGAAGTATAAAGGATTATCATTTTCAAAAAGTCTAGAGAAAATCTTATTACTGATGATTGTTTTGACTATTTCAATACCCGTTTGAAGTGTATACAGGACTTGGACTTGAAACTTGAGAGTGCACTCATTTTCACAGCAATATTTTATAAAATTGCCTCAGTGTATAGGAGCTGTTAAGACAAAATTTGTATTTTTCAAAGGGCACCAGGGAAAGCTGAATCCCTTCAAGTGAAGAAGGCTGCTTTTTTTTATTTTATGACCAATATTGTTTTTACTGGATGTTGTACTCTCGTGCCACTACCATCACTGGCATTTACTGGGCTCACTGTGGTCCAGTACATCACGGTATAGTGCTACAATCATGTTATATCTTTCATGAAAAGTTTTCAACTAAAGATCTGTGTTCTAATTTGTGATCATATAATAATTGTAATTATTGTTTAGTTTTCACTGTACAAAGCTTGCAATAGTGGTTTATATATATATACGTTTTATTTGACAATTTTTTTTTCCAAGAATGGATCATGCAGTCATTTGAATCACTGCCATTCAAAATATGTAAAGACGATTACCAGGATATAGAAATCAAAAATGAAAAGTTGTCTGCTCTCAGAAATCATTCATAAAGCTTTATTGATGTCTTGACACTTATTATGTGTTGTGTTTGTTGGTCTGAATGTGTACAAATTGTGGGGAAATAATTTGATTGGATTCAACCACTGTACTAAACTTATGTGAGCCTTGGAGCTGAATTTATCTGAATTCATATGCATTGGAAAACTATTTAAGTGTTGGCTAGCAGATCTGAGAACGTCACCAACATTTGGTCGCTCTGACAATCATCGGTGATTTAGCATATATACTTCTCCCAAATTGTGCAAAATCAGACAATCAATTACTTTGGACAGTAGTTAATACGCTTTCAAGTCTATCAAGATAAGAACTACAGAGTGCGAGGTTAATAAAATATGCATGAATTCTAACCAAAATAAATGTGTATTTGTTTTATTTCTTTGAGATTTATTAACGAGATCAATGAGTACAAACTGAGATGTTACCAAGTTTTAATTAGGTATTTCTTAAGTGATTGGAAGGTATTGAGGTAGTCATTGGCGGTAATTAGTGCAAGCCACAGCCAGGTTAAACCTCGTACCACTCGCCAAGCAAATCACTTCTGCCACAGCTTGATTATGCATTTATGCAAATCAAGGGTCATTGGCTTGGTCAAATCCGAACTATATTTAAATATGACTGAGTTCGCATTCTGAATGAATACAATCTTGACGTGGAATTGAAACCAAAGCAGATGGAAGTTGTCGAAAGTGTATGGGAAGAGAAAGTTTTTATAGTTTCCCTGCCAACTGGGTATGGGAGCCATCTTGAATACCTGAACAACACCTGCGTATCATAGCGTGAAAAGTCATGTGTGGCAGAGGTATTGGTCTGCCTGCGCTAGAAACTCTGGGATGAAGAGTGACCTCATACTTGTGGTTTCCATTAGATGAGCGCATTGGATTGTGGGAAAATCAATGTTTATCAACACAAATGTCTTGCATGCGCGGCACGACGACTACCACATCCACCCTTTCAATATTGCTCTTGAAGGTAAACGTTTTGAAGCTAGTTACCTTCTTCAGCACCCTCTAGTGGCTTATTTGTGCTTATCTACCGTCTCGGTCGTCATGGTGCACCAAAGCCCACATTCTGATTGGTTGATCATGTTCCCATTCTTCACTATATTTCCCTATTTACCTGATGTCATTTCTGGTTGTTCTATATATAGAGCACGGGTTTCCTTTAACTCTCAAAATATGTGCAAATATGAATCTGAAGCAGATCGACTGAATGGGACTGGCGTTACTGCAGTAATACAGACTTGTTTTTAGAAAATTGGATTGAAAATTTGAATCTACCGGTAGGGCCAAATCTTGGCCCAGTGAAACAATATGGCAATTACTAGCTACTTATGTCAGATTTGCCATTCACAAGGATTGCTGGGAACCAGCTAATTATCTACATGTACTAAGAAAAAGTAAATTTATTTATTCACATCATTTACAGTTATAAAATTCTTGAAAATTATCAATTTGTTGGAACATGTTGATTTTGAAGAGATTAAAATAGAAATGCAAGTCGGTAAAATCTAAATGCAAATTGAGGCAACACTGTCAGAACTGGAAATATTTAAGTACACTCGGTGATGAATAACTGGAGAACAGTAGAACAATAATAAAACAGTACAATACGCAGTTATAACAATGGTATACCCATATGGAGACAGACAAAAATTGCTGTTTTGCCAATTTGACTGGCAGCTGAAGCTCAGGGGAAAAAACTTTGGGCATACAAAAGGTACTCTCAATTCAGTGAAAATACATTGAGTTTTGTCAATACAAAAAAAAAAAAACTGTGGCACACTTATAACAATTTCTCTGCGCCACCCGTGGTAACTCTATGCAGCTCATAAACGAAAGGAATCAATGAAAATGAACTGTGAGGGTGTCTTACGTGATATTTGTGAATTTGTGATAATGCAAATTATGTCACCGTATTATAATATTAATTATTTTTTTTATAATTGTAATGTTCCTATGATTTTTATTATTTTACACAATCGAATCATGTTTACTCCAACCACAGTCAACACCGGTGTTGAGGGACTGTGCTCCAACGTATACTACTCGATGTTGCCCTATGGTGTCCTATTGTCATTTTTATTGTCATTCAAGGGAGTTGAAAATGGCGTGCTACTCGGAGAAATATTGATTATACGGATAATTTCGTAGTTTTATAGTTATGCGCTTGCACTCATGGCAAATTTAAATTTGGCTTAGAATAGATTTCTTGATGAAATTTGTGGTGATACAGATAAATGTTCGATAAAGAAACCATGCAGACGACATCGACGGAATTCTAACAGGCGCGAAATTTAAATTTCGTATTTCCCACTTTTTGTCGTCTGCCTTGTGAATTACGTCATTGACTGTAAATTTTTGTTGAGCAACCAATCGCATTTGAGCTTTTGTTGCACACATACAGAAATTTACTTGCTCAAAAGTGCAGACCAGGAATTTGAAGCTCACCTGAGAAGACACGTAGTTTTTGCAGATAAATCGACGAAGACTGGTAAAGTTGGGTTTTCTTTTATTTAGTTAATGTTTGCATTCCTCGTTATGTTAAAATCCTTTTTGCGTATGGATATAGCTGTGCATCGAACTTATGTCAGAGTTTTATTTTCTCTTTCAAACTCTATAATTTCCCCCCTATAAAGTACACTGTATCCATTTATTATTTTTTTGAGAAATGTTCATCGTGTCCTGTTTCAAATATGAGATCCAAAAGAGAGAAACATAAATTTTATTCACTTTTCAGAATTCCTAGCGAAAAAAAAATGTCTCTTACTTCCACCGCAGTTCGACCGGGAGTAAAAGGGAAGACGGGAAATGTAAGTTTTTCCATCTATTTATGTTTCTGAGTTTTTTTCTGTTCTGCTCTGAAAAATTTGGACAGTGTTTGACTAAAAAGTATTGATATAATGTGTAAATTTTGTTCAGTAAAAACTCAAATAAAAATAGTGAGATTTCCCCCCCAAATAGTTATTTTCTTGGATTTGTTGCGTTTCTACTTCCTTATTAAAGCTACGGTAGCCTGTGAGTTCATAGCTCTTATTATAGCGATATTTTTTAAAAATGATATTGCATTTGTGACAGATATACTGTGAAGGCATGAACAGCTTTTATGATAATTTTTTGGCATCTAGGCAATGGCCTCCATGAACTTCAGACCTGGTAGTATGATTTTGTGCATTGAAAGCTGAATTTCTTAAAAGTTTCACATTTTTGCTACTGATTATCCTTGCATTTGAGGTAAAGGAACTATAAAAGCAACAGTATGGCAGCCAGTATGTAAGAAAAGTATGTACAACGATTAAAATTAAAATTCAGTCAGTGTCAGGCCTGGTAGTATGATTTTGTGCATTGAAAGATGAATTTTCTGAAAGTTTCACATTTTTTCTACTGTTTATCCTTGTATTTGAGGTAAAGGAACTATAAAAGCAACAGTACGGCAGCCAGTATGTGAGAAAATTCAGTCAGTGTATGTTGTCGAAGCACTGACTTTAAACATTTATATCTCTTTTAGTGGTCCAGTGTATTTCCACAGGGACAACTAACAGAGCAGCAGTCTGCACTCTTTGTAAAGAAATTACTGGCTGTTGCACTTTCCAACATTACGTATCTAAGAGCTATCTTTCCTGAACATGCTTTTGGAGATAGGTGTCTAGAAGGTATCTGTTACTTCTTTTACCAATAAGATATAAATAATAAATACAGTGTGTCCTCTGAGCCAATATGAGATGCCAATGATGCAAAAAGATTTGCTATGATGCAACCATCGTAGTTGTGCTAATTCATTGGCATTAAATATATATAGTCATCTTGAAAAAGATCTTACTATTATTATGTAATTTTAATTTGGAAAAATGAAATTCACATTTTATATTTACAAAATAAGTGAAGGAAATCAGGAGCCACATCATATCTCAAATCGCAATACATAGCATACAAATTTAGATTTGGTTGCCATAAACTTGTAACTGAGATGTTACGCTAAACCAAAAACACCAATGGAAAACAGCTTGTGTTCTCATTGTAATGAAGTTGAAGATGAGAAACATCATTACCATATGATAAATGACATACCAAGCAAAGAGACACAATGTATCCAAGTGTAAATGCAAATTTCCTGAATTTGGATAAAAAAAATAAATACTGGTAACACAGTCAAAACATGCACACACTATTATATATTTATAGTATGTGTACTTGAATAACACTAAATGGACAAACAATACGCCTACACAACACTACGTATAGTATATTTTTATTTTTGTTTATTATATTTACTATTAAATTTATCTCATTTTAAATGCCAAATTAGAAATGTAAGGTGTTCTCCCGATTGGAATAAAGTTTGTATATTTCTATGAATTTTGTTTTTTTTTGCTATTTACAGATTTAAATCTGAAAATTTTAAGAGATGACAGTGCTTGTCCAGGTGCTTGTCAGTTAATCAAATGGGTGAAAGGTTGCTTTGAAGCTCTTGATAAGAAATATGTAAGTATTTGTATGCATCAATTTCCTGGTGCATTGAAGTGTACTAATGAACTTTGAGGTATATATGACACAATTGATACAGAAAATAATTCTTATATTTCAAATTAGGCCATATTTTTTTTATTCCTTGTTTCTCGAGTTTTTATAAGGCAAGTTTTTTAAGGAGGGCGAAAAAAAAAAAATTAATTCTTTTTTCTATTAGATTTGTGTGATTCTCAAAGAATTGTAATCGGGACCATTGATCGGAGAGAAGAAATTAAATAAAATGTTATTCCATGTATAACCTTGTTTTTCATCTGTGCGAGATTTCGGTACTTTGATCATGATACTCCCATGAAAATGCAACTTAAAAATAAGGTTTTTTTTTATCAATTTTTTGCACTTACAAGTCGGCAGGCGCGAGAAATTACGCTAAAATAAAATTTTATTTTTATTTCATTTTCGGCTCCTGTTCATTTAGCGGGTTTGCGAAACAAGGGATAATAAAAGTTTGGCCTTACTATACACACATGCAGTTTTGAAAACAAAAAATATGTTCTGAGAGCTATCAAACATATGTAATTCATTAGATTTTAAATAGTTACTGTTTTAAACAAATAGAATATTTATATAAAATATATAGACTAGATGGACTAGGTAGACTAGATGTCGTCAATGACATCTACAAATAATTGACTAGTGAATTGGACTTGAGTATTATGGGCGGGCCATACGTACGGGATAGTTTGTGCATACAAGTTCCCATAGTAACATACTGAAGTCATGGAGACAGCCATTCAATGATGACGTAGAACTTATACAAAAACATCATGGGACATTAAAACCTGATGATCCATTCAAACTATCAGTTTAACAATAATTTAAGTTAGAGGCTTGTGCTGCTAATTCTAACATATTTATTAAATTTTTTTCTTTATTTCTTTCTATTATCGCAAATGGACAACTAGCTCCGAGCTGTGATTGTTGGGGTAAGTGGCAAATGTATATCGAGAGAAAAGTAGTTATGAAGGATTCTTGTTCATATCATGTTTGCCTAAATTATAATCAAATGTAATGGAAAACTAGTTTTAAACATGGCTTAAAGCCTGATCTTAGACAGGTTAAATTCTTCATTATCTGCTACTTACACGTATCTTAGAGTTTGCCAGTTTGCTAGCATTTCAACTATTGATGAACTCTTTATTAACAGACAAAACTTTTTTTTCCTACAAACAGATTTATGTTGATCCAGATGATCCAGAGGTATGTGTTAATATGTGTTGTTGTAGCAATTAAGTTTTGTTTCCATCTATACAGTGATGCTCTGAGATTGTGACAGATGGATGGGACCCCATAAGCATATTATGTTGGGGTGGGGCTTATAATAGGATAAATACTATATATTATGACTTTGTCAAGTAAAAAAAAATAATGGGGAAACTAATTTTGTGTGACCTAATTCACTATGGCTTGAACTTTACAGATTTCTCTCTATATTATTACTAACAATTTTTGCCTTGAAAAGGGGTGTCCTCTCAAATTTGAAGTTCAAGCCATGCCTAATATATGACAGCTATGCTGGTTAGGTAACTAGACAAGAATGAAAAGGTAGAACATTTCAAAATTGTATGTGCATTGTGCTGCTTAATTGTAGTGGAAAAAAGTTCTGTTATAATGAACTAGAACTTATTTTTTGTGATATGGTAATATGCACATAATAATGAAGCACAATATGGACTTTACATCAGCTGCTTCCATTTGTTTGTCTGTGCTTCACTACTGAACCAGACACACACACCGCGGGTAAATATATACCGTAGTACTCAAAAGCAAGTTTTTGTTTGTAGGCAGCCTTAATTCAGACTGTACATGGATTGCTTTCATATACCAATTAACATTTGTGTTTAACATCCTTAAATATTTAACTTTCACTTTATAAATTCAGACTTTGATCGAGTCATATACATTCAAGTTTCACTATCAAAATAATGGAGGCATTAGCATCTACAGGTAATTAAAATACATTAAATAAGAAACAACAAAACTTTAAGACATTGAGCACCACTCTATATATGTACACATGTGATGTTACTGAGCCCAAAAATATTTGGTCTGGTGAATTGTGCTTTTGTAGTCAGTATCTCTTCTATGAGATGTACGCAATTTATGATTCTTTACTATGATAACATCACGTCGTGCATACAAAGAAAATTATGTCACTAACTAATTTTAGCTGATTTTATATTAAAACATGATTGATGGTGAGATGCTGGATTGTTGACGAACATCAAGTTACAAAAATGAAAAAAAAAGAAACCACGCCCAAATTGTAACTCGATGTTCAATTAACATTGATTTTTTGTTTTGTCAACAATGTATGTTCCCCATAACTCAAATTTTGGTTAACTGTTAATTAAAGTTTGAGCTACTAACTGTGGATGTTCAACAAAAATAAAAATGTATGTTGCCGTAATTCAAAGTTTGGTTAACTGTTAATTAAAGTTTGAGTTGCAATTTGGGCGTGGTTTCTAAAATATACGTGTGGTCATTTCGATGTCAGTATTAAACTACAACAGCATCTCATGCTTTATTTTGGTTTAAAATATTGGGAAACACTGCTCAGGTCTATTTTATATTTTTTTATGATAAAGTTTAGACGGAATAAAATAAGCTGTGTTTCTGGTAGATTTTGTGATTATATTAAATGACTGCTTCGTTAGCAATGAATAATATTATGTATTACTGGTACATGTATTATCTTAGTTTCATACTTGAACTGTTTCTTTTTTTTAGGAATGAAAATAAAATAAGTTCAGCCTACAGTGACAGTGAGACCAAAAAAGCAACTGTACGCTTACTGAGAACAATCATAGTTCTCACTCAAACATTGGCATCATTGCCTGATGATGTATTCATGACTATGAAGCTACTCTATTATGATGATGGTCAGTAATGTTTTGTTTTGTTAGTTGGGTATGGATGCATGTAATCTTGAGCATTATTGTATTCTCTAATTCAGTAGAACAATATTGAGAATAATTGTTAATTAATTAATCTCTGGCATTATATATCAAGAGATTTGACCATGAAATCAATCCATATCAATTAATATAGATACAAGGTTTTTGTGAAAATACTGAAACTAATTAAAAAATAATCTCTGTCAATGGTGAAATTTGCAGCATTATTTGTTGAGTATCTCCAGTGTGTCACATAAGATTCATTAACATATTATAAACATTTATCTAAACTGTTAAATTTAAATAGGTTGTGTTCATAAAGGATCACTCAGAAATAAAAATCATTTTTATTTTTCACATATCATACCTCACAAAACAAATAAGGTATTCACCACTATCAACCCTGAATGTAAAAGGAAAGTGACAATGACAGCTAAAATTTAAAATGATAATTTGTTTTCACAGTGACTCCTGAAGACTATGAACCCCAAGGTTTCAAGCCTTCTGACTCTGATAAATTCAAGTATGAATTTGAACCAATGAATATCAAAGTAGGAGATGTTGAAACTGTAAGTTTTGTAAATATGTTTAGTAGCATAAATCGACAACACTGTTCTTACATTTGTATTATTACTTGACTTGTTACATTGACGCTTGTCATATAATATGTACATATTAAGTGTGTTATTTTCTCTCCATTAACTTTGGGTTTCTTTTTTTTCCTTCTACGTTGAACAATGCAGCCATTTCACCTGTAAGTATATTAATGTCAAGGAAATTTGACTACAGCATAATATTTGTCGTACTTAAATTTATTATTATTTCAAAATATAACATACACAAATTACAAAAGAAAAGCGCACACTCCATCGTTGTTTGGAATCCAAAGAAAAAGAAACAAATCAAGAACAATTTTTTAATGCTTAAACAAGCATTAGATATACCTTTATACCATTACTAAGGACAACCTAGCATGTTGCATGTTTGGATTATTATGTTTGGATTAAATATAAAATATAAAAACTTTTCAAGTTCAGTATTACCGGTAGTGCAATATTTCATGAAATTCACTGCCTAAGGAATATCTACAATGACATTTCCATTGTCTTAGGAAATTTTTTGAAATTGGTGTGAAATTAAATCGTTTACTATAATGACATTTCTTTCGATGACATTGTCAAATAATTTTACTTTGAATGAAAATATTTTTTTTTATAATGATATGAGGTTCTTTTAAGGATACTGCAATGGAGGACAGCAGGAATATTGGCTTAGGCATAGGTTGATGCCACTGCATATTGTCTTAGTGTGTACTTTGTGGTATCCTTGTAATAACGTTATTTTCAATATCTTCCCTATCTAATTGCTGGGTGTATGATACCTAGAACTGAGTAAGATGGAAATTAGAAACATTTTCTAGATATGAACTTAATTTTCAAAAGTGTTCTTATATGGACTTTGTTTTTTCTGATACGGTATAATGTACCCTGTGCAATACTGCAAAATTGGGACAATGACATGATGTAACTTGGGATATTATAGTGACAGCTGCATAATAATAATTATTAAAGTGAATATTTTAACATTGTTCGAAAACAATATCTAATATATAGTGTCAAGCTTCGCATAAAAACAGACAGTTCACTATTTGATGCCAAGAATGATGATGCAACTGAAGTAGTTGAAGAGGAAACAAGTGAATATGATAATGCGATGATGACAACTGTTGGACTTGATGAAGGCAAAGATAATGAAGATGAACCAATGCAAGAGGTAAATTTACAAAAATGCTTTTGAACTTTGAGCAATATTATTTTTATGTAACTTATTGTAGTTCTTTTATAACCACAAGCAACTTGAATTGAGGCAAATATATGATTACTTTCTCTCAGCTTGATTCATTTCATAATGTAGTTATAGGTTGGCTAAGGTGATCTCATCTGCCCAGACCCATTTATCATTATTATTTATGTCTGGTCTAATTACATTCAAACTTTACAAGTACACTGTATGTACAAGTATTTGCCTTTTGATCTAATAGAGAATTTGGTTCCTGGTGTATGTAAAATATTAAGTTTGGTTGCATCATCAGCTTGTATGCACATTTGAAGTTGGTAGATAACACAGTAAGTGGCTTTTGCATACCCAAATTTGCATTAAAAGATTAGGTTGCAGGGGCATATTTACTTTGTTTGTGGCTATTTCGTTTTTGCTGAGATGGAATGACAGTTTTTGTTTAGTTGCACTAAACACACCAGGCTAGATGCACTTAATTTTCGTTAATTGTGATTCAGTAAAACTGACCATTTTCCACATCTTTAAATCGTTTATTATGTCTGACCATTTTTTTTACGTAGAATTATGACAATCAATCGTTATCTATGAATTCCCACCAACATAAGTCAAACAGTCAGGAAGAACCCATACCATGTCCTGATGTACCATGTGAGAGTCCAGCTAAACCAGGTATTTTAATTGTGATATTAAAAAAGTCTTTCTTGATTGATCACAACTTCATCTGAGACTAATCATGTGTTCTGTCCAGTGAATTATACCTTGTTTTATTGGTTAAAGATGCAGGTTATATTTATAAATACTGGAATTGTCCACCTGTTCATTGAAAACATAGTTGAGTATTATGAGCTGAACAGCCACACAACATCACAATATCAAACTAATTACAACTAGCTCTTGTGTTTCATCTCAGTATGTGCTAGATTATGCAATTATATTTAAATCTATAGTGCGTGGTAGCTGCTCAATAATCCCCAACCAAATGTATAAATAATAAAATTAGTATTTTGAATCACTAGGAATTAATGAAGTAGCATCAACACCAGCTTCTCAAACTAGCAACCTAGAAGAAAGCCAAGAAGAATATAAAGTTAGATGTCCATGTGGATGTAATGAGGTAAATAATTGTCTTCTAAGATTGTTTTCTGTAAATGCCAATATTTGAATTACTTACCAGTTGCTTTCGGTTTCACCTTGTTGTATTGTCTGATATTGGTTTGTATATAGTGAAACATAAAGAAATGTGATACACCTGTTGCATTTGTTTTGTTAACATGCACAGTGGCTGGTCGTGTCATGTAAAACAACTTTTGGGCAATGTTGTCACATCAAATTGCGAGCTAGTGCTGATATGTGAGAACAAATGATGTCACAGTGTGACAGTATGGGCTATACGTGGATTTAAATTACTAGTATCACAACAGCATGAGGAAGCCTAAAAACAAGGGAACAATGCTCAGGATCTGTGATAAAATGACCACCAATTCAGTAAACCTGATTTTGATATTAGAATTAATTGTTCCTTTATAAATCTACACCCCAGTATCAGATTGGCATAACCGATATTTCTTTTTTCATTAGGAAGATGGCTTGATGGTGAAATGTGAAGGATGCAAGTTTTGGCAACATGCTATATGTTTTGGTATGACAGATGAAAATGAAGTTCCAGATGTTCATAACTGTGATGTCTGTGCAGATGTAAGTACATACAGTGCCACATATCTCATCAACAGAATGGTATTCTCTTGATCTTGCAGACTACACTTGTTATAAAACAACCTAAAAGAAGTTTGGCCTTAACATTGTTTGGTGCAATATATCTGTAATGATTAGTATACAGGTTTATAAACTGCATTATGTCTTTGATTATGGGTAACTGTCGATTTCAATGGTTCCAGTACACAAGAATAGAAGTTTCAGGTTCTTTCTTTGATTGGTTATGTCTGTACATGATAGAATAGCAACGTAATAATAAAATATCTCTTTCTATCACCAGTCTAATGATGTCTTTAGAAGGCCAACAGATTTCATATTGTATGGTATGAATTCAGTAAATGTTCAAGCGATGTGTTTGTGGCGTCGTTCATTGCTTGCTTGCACCGAGTTTAAGCGACTGATTGCGCCAAATTTTTCCAGAAGACTTGGTGTTGAAATGAATGTAGCTCAAGGTCTTATCAACCGTCTTCAAAAAGAAGGATTTGTACGTGCACCAGCAAAAGGTAAACGGTAAGTATTTTTTTTATCAAGGTACATGTATTTCCATGCAATAAATATACAAGGAGACATTTTAGGTTTTCATTTCAAAAATTGACTGTAATTTACATGTGTATGACTGAGAACAATACCATAGAGTTAATATGGATTCACAACAACATATATATAGTGTGGTCAACATCATATTTTATAAGATGATACATTGTGACCATTTTCTTGTATAGGCTTGGCAAAATTGTGAATATAGACAAGGTAACGGAGGTTGGACTACAAAGGTACTGTAAACGATCAACAACACCTGAAGAAAGCAATAATTCACCAGTGAATCCATCTCAAAGCAAGCCAAAACAAGCTAACAAATCACAACCAATGGATTCACAAGAGAAACTCTCAAAAAAAGATGAGGTAAAAATAGTGTAAAAACTAACAATTTCCAACTGTTCTCTTTCTAGGAGTACAGAATATCTCATGAGGGACCCTACAATATCACCAAAGGCACAGAACAAATGTACTTGTTTTATAAATCTGATATTCTAGAGTCACTCATGAGATATACTCCATATATTTGATATGAAATTGATATCCTGTTCATCATTTTACATCTTCTAAAGGCTAAAACTAACTTGGTGATCCTAATTGTTGAATGCATACTCAATACATCATAGAGCATTCTGGCTCATTTGCATACAAATTTGCCCTTCATGAATGCAGATTGCTGTTTTAGTTATTATGGGGGCCATCATTATGTTTATACTTTCAGGGATGTATTAGAAACATAATTGCTAATCTTAGTCAATTGAAAGTGACCATTTCACAATCTGTGAAAAATAGCCATGAGACCGGTGTATCCTCTCAGCCTTATTTTCGCTCAATTTTCTCAGATTCAATTGTAATTTCTCAGTGAAATTTTGTCTTTTGAGAAACTTTCCATGCATTTTGTATGCAGAAAAAACATTTCAAGGGGAAAATGGGCAAATTTTCACAGTATTTTCAAGATTCAAAAAAATTAAAGGGAACAGTGCATGAGAAATGGGTGAAACAAATTTCTGTGCTAGAAGAAGTTGAGTTTGGGAGAGTATGAAATGACGTCTCAAATATATACTGATATATATCACACACGGGGATTATTCAAACTAATGTGATTCTAAATAATAATTTAAGAAATATCAATTAAAACAACCAACATTGTATGATGTAGTCATATTTTGTGATACTCAGCAATGGTGTCAGAAGTTCACTCTGTTTGCTTACTTGATACAATAATGCTAGCTAAATAACTAGAGACAGCAGATTGCTGGTGGCATGTCTGCAGCTGGTAAACAAAAGCAGATGAAGAATTACTAATTTTCTGTGATTCACAGGTAATTTGCATGACTAGGAATAGTCAAAAAATCAAAATTGGCTAACAGGAGATCTTTTTAACAAACATTGGTACTGCATATACACTACCATGTATTATATTATCTTGTTTAGTAACGTTTAGAGAATATCTGAATCGCAGTTAAACATATTTTACCCTTGATGCTACATAACGCAACTATATCTGGCAGCTAGGTAGATATTCATATCTGCTCTTAAAATATATTTGTCATAGATTGAACAACTGACATCCAAGACATCAAGGATGGACATGTCTGGCAAATCGCTTGGTAAAAGGTCAAAGAGAGTGAAAGATATCCAACAAGAACAGGTATGTACAACAAGAATCTTGTCTGTGTCAAGCAAGGCTCAGCAAATTTAGTATTAAAGTTATATAGTCCAGTTTTTTGAAAGTTCAATGGACAGGGAATTGCAAACATTTATTGAGAATTAAGAATTCAACAAACTCTTAAAAATTTTACTACATTTGGTGTACTGTTTATCTACTTATATCTACAGCCACGTCAAAGTCCACGTTTCCAGAAGCGAAGATTTGATGAGCGTGAAACCAAAATTGTTTCAAGAACTGACCAGGTGATTAATTTATGAGTAATAATGTGGTGGTACATGTGGTTACATAAATTGTTTTCATTTTCCCCAAAACTAGACTGTTCGGGAAGTTTGTTATTTTGAATTGATGCTCACTTAAATGAATAGCATTTCTGAAAAGTTATTTAAAAATTTACCACTTGCATTTCAAGAGTGACACATACATAAAACAAAAGCAACACACTTTGTGTTTTATTTGTCAGTTCATTGGGTAGTTCTATAATTTGGAATTACTGGAGAAAGGAACAAGTGTTCTATGGTGATTCAAGCTATTTACATGTTAGCTTACAGGGATTTTTTTAAACAAGGAAACAGGGGGCGCAACACCCTCATGCCATGGCCATGCGCCCCCTTACCCTGGGGAGCAGATCCTCTGGCAACCATAAAATTATGATTGACCAGGGATCACATGTGGCCGCAGTCTTCAACTGTGACCTGTCTGGGAGTAATTTTGATCCCAAGGAAGCCATAGAATTTTAACTTAGAATTATCAAAAACTCCACACCCTGGTAGGGAGAACCCTATCTCCCTCACTTGGTGGTGTCGCTAAATTGCTGTGCTTGCATGCCCTGGCTTATATGAATGTATAATGCCAAATGTGACATAAGTTGTCAATGTTAAAATGTTATAATTAATTGATTTTGGATTATAATCAAAAAAGGAAAATTTTGGTAATTATTTCAATTTCAAGATGGTGAAATTGCTGGAATTAATTTTCTTGATTGGAAAAAGTTGTAAATATAACAATGGTAAAAATCATAACAAATTTTAGGAATAAAGAGAGACTGGCCACAGTCAGGGCGATTTTTTCAAACATAGGTGTAATTTTTAATTAAAAAAAATAATTGTTCTTGACTCACCGCAAAATCACCCCTGGTAATGTCCGCTGCGCCCTCTATCGACATCATAAAAACACTGTGTAAGGTGTCAATCTACATGTATCTTTAGGCACTAATCTCTTGCCCCTGAAAACACATATGGGTGACTTTCAAGAGCATTTGATTCCCGATTCTTGACAGTGTTTGCGCATTTATTGTTTGTGTGCTTGATTTTGAATGTTTTAAACATGCAGAGTGGCAATACACCACTTGTCTGTGTTTCCAACTCGCAGCATACAAAATAAACTAAAATTAAAATGCTATCATCTTTCAACTAACTCGTATCAGCCTGTGAAAATTTGGACTCCATTCTGCCTAAGCAAGAAAAATGAACATGCAAATTATCTTTGGCTATAACATAATATTCTCATATTTTTGGGGAGTTTAAAAACTGTATCTTGGTCATATTTATTCAGTGAAACACACACCATCTCTTTTTCAGTTCATCTTCTGTGCAAAAATCATCTTTTTTTAACTGGTAATTCACATTTCTTAGCTGTTACCTAGGTAGTTACCTACGCATCTGTTGGGAATTACAGATGCAAATTGATTTGTGTTGCGATTCAATGCAAGATGACTGACTGGTGGCCATTTTGACTTTCGGAAATTATCACTTTCTGTCCATTTCTGTTTAAATCACAGATACAAATTATTTCATATGATATTTTATCTTCAATAGAGTGTATATGAAATTTCCAGTAGTCAAGATCCTGATGATAGCATGATGAGTACTGGTCGGAAGAAGCACAAAGCAAGCATAGCTGGAAAGTCGGTCATGGTTTAAATGTAGTACTACAAAATCTTTCTTGGATTTTGCTAAGCAAAAAAGTGATGAATAAATACATATTCATCATAATATGAATTCAGTTTATATTATTGTATACTATTGCACCATTAGACAACATTAGTACTGGAGGATATTCAAGTTGGAAAACAAACATGTACATGTGTTTTATCACTATTATTTTAGGACGCTTTTTTATGTCATTCACACTCATGCATTCAATTAAAAAAAATTAAATGTATTGTTTCATGTATTATATTTATAAATTTTATTTATTCTTTTCCAAAGAACAATGTTTAATTTAAGCAAATTATTAATTATGTGTAATATAACTTTAAAGTTCAAAATATTTATTGTACCATTTCAGAGTTTAAATTATGACTTGTTCTGTTATTCAAATGATTTAAAACATGAGAAAATTGTAATTAAAAATTGTTGTCTTTTTTTCTTGATGCCTTGTGAATTTGCAGAGACTTGTGTATATTATGTTACCCCTTACAACCTGTATATTTAACAGACAATGTCGTAAATTGAAACTGGGCAATTGAATGGTAGATGAAATTTTAACAACAACTTGCTAATCAAATTATGCTCCCTGGCCGATTTTTCGAGAAATTACCTAAGCTTGATGTGTTGAATCAATTTTAGTTTGTCTCAAATTAAATTTTAGAATATAAGAACAGAAAGTTTGAGAAGCATCCATGGTTGGCATTCGAATTGGCAATTTAAAAGGTATCGATGTTTGGCAGTCTTGAATTAAATACTATCGGGAACATCATAGTACTACAATGTACGTAAATACTATCTTTTGAAAAATATTACGAATTGACAATTTGAAACGTAGTCAATATTAGGCATTTTCGAATTGAGTAAATTTGGAAACGTACGTAATTGCGCGTTAACTAACTTTTGAAAAATATTACGAATTGACAATTTTATCAATGTTTGGCAGATGCAAATTAAATAATTCTGAAAACATCGTACATAAATTGTGCACTAAATGTCGGGAAAATACATGTAGCCGTCAGTTACAAGCACTGAGGGCATTAGCTTCGTAGCTCCCTATGATTAATTAAGTTCAGGCTAATTAGTCATTTTTGATGTCCAAGAAACCGAGGTTCAGAGGAAAAAAGTTTTCAACATGGAGTCCCAGGGCCTGCTGTTTCCGAAAAACTGAAAACATCGTACATAAACTGTGCACTAAATGTCGAAAAACATTATGAAAAGTAGTTAATGTAGTGAGGCAGTCTAGAATTGACCAGTTTAGGAAATATCGTACGTAAATTGCACATCAACTGACTTTCGCCAAATATTACTAATTGGCTGTTTTTCTGAATGTCATAATGAAGCAACCTAAATTGTTGATGTCATTGCTACAGGCAATATAATATAACGATTTCCAAAAAAATGCTGTTCACTGTTCACATGTCTGTGACTGAACCAATGTTTTCGGTGTTTGAGAAAATTAGTGGCCAGAAAGTCAGTGCAAGTAACTTATTATATTGCAGAAAAAAATGCATATAATATTTTCAAAGGGCAATGATAAGAACGTCAGTTCTGAATAGTATTAGGCTCTTTAACAACTATCGTTCTTTAGTAACGTCAAATAATTGCATGAGGAATTATAACCAAATACATGTAGCCGTGAGTCACAAGCAACCTACCACTGAGGGCGTTAGCTTCGTAGCTCCCTATGACCATAGACCTACGACTGATTAACGAACGAACTGCGTCATTCAGTGATGCCCAAGAAACCGGGGTTCATAGAACAGAAATGTTCAGCATGGAGTCCTAGGACCTGCTGTTTCAAAAAAACGGCCTTTAAGTGCGAGAAGCTGGATTTGTTAAAGATAATCCATTCGATATTTTGATGCATTGATACTTTGGGTGTGCGAAATTGATGGCTGGGATTATTCAATATGCGAAGCTTGCCAAGTGACTGCAGGAAAAATGACATTTAGAGGGAATCGTTGAAGAGACGTCAGGTGTGGGCACATTGGAGTTAAGCCATGGTTTCCTTAATTCTAAGTCTAGTTTAGTATATCATTAGAATGTATCAATGCGACAACTGTGTTTTAATAGTACAGTGGTTTATTTACTTAGAATATAGTAAATTTCAAATTTACGTCTAGACACTAGAATCACGTGGGGTTTATAAGTCGATGTTCGAACGGATATTCAATAAAGTATAAGATTAAGAGTTTTGGGAGTGGCATAAGAAATTCTTTCAAGCATAAGAAAGATATTACACGTTTGTTTTGTTGGTATACAGAATCAATTCAATTACAATGGCATGTCATGAGAGATGAATATTTTACTATTGTTTCGCAGTGAAACTAACGTTGACATTGAGGGCGCTTTGACTTTTCGCCAAAAAATGGTTTAAATTTTGCTAAAATTGAAGAAATTGCTAAAAATGATCGACTTGTTTGTTGGGGGTCAAAACAGCGGTACATACATGTGTTCTTCCACTACGGTGTGTCTAGACGCTAATTCATTTTGGCTTGTTTAATAAAAACAAGATAAAAATGCAATATCAGTATCACTGCACTGATTTTCGTTATACAGACGTTTCGGGCAATGATGCTTCTTCAGTAGCACATAAAAACGGTAGTCATTGAGTAGTAGAACAAGAAAGTAAGAACCCTTGGGCTAAATTAAGCAAACAAATATGATTGCACAAAACTTGTTAATAATAATACAAGACACTTCGCGATGAGCGTCTTTTGCGGTCAGTAATATTTCCAAAAATTTTTGTTTACTTTTGGTGATCCGCTCCGCTAGAATTGCCCTTAAAGTCACGTTTGTTGGCGATCCGCTCCCCTAGAATTGCCATTAAAATCACTTTTGTGTGTCTGTGTGGGTGATTTCCAGTGTTTTCACGTATTAATTCTTCGGTGATTATTTTGGCTTGGCCAATTTTGCTCAAACTTGACAGGTAGGTCACACCTTCACCCTAGTTATTAGGAAAAATCTGAAAAAAATATTCTGGCCCAACATTTCCATGGCAACAGCCAAAAAACTGATTTTTTTTATACCTTTGTGCGAAATGTATCTCACCCTACATTTCTATGATTAAGTAGCTTATTCTACTCAGTCTGAGTGTGGTATCAGGGGTAAATCTT